TTGTACTTATGGTTAATACCGATAAATTTTATTCAATAATACGAATTTTACTTGGCAAACAATGATTCACTCATTAACATTTGATTGGGCAATAGCAAACCATGACACCTAATTTAGTAATGCTGTTTTTTTTTTGTCTTTTACCTATATTGATGAAAAAAGCCTATAATTTTTTTACCTTATACTAATATGTTAAGAGAGATGCTCATGTGCTGTGAATTTATCCACCATGACTAATATTACGATAATGCTATAGCAAGTTGCCTATAAGTATAACCATTCTCTGTTTAAACTTCTCGTTCGTATATCAGTCATTATGTTTAAACAAACTATCACTACATTTTTGTTATTTATTCATTTTTTCTCGTATTGCTCTGTACATTTATTTTACTAGTCGTCTGTCTCTTTTTCAACGGAGAAAGAAAGAGCGAAAGAGAATCAACGACACATGTGACAGTAACTTTCGAGCATAAGAACAATAATATAAGAGAGTAGGACACGCAATTATCCCGATACACAATTCAACATATATACACGTTGCAGCAGGGACTTTTTGTTTCGATTAGCGATGTATGTAGAATAGAAGAAGCCTTATTCACATCATTAGTGAACCTGTTAATCTTCTTCGCTGTTATCTACAAAATTAGCTGATTATTAAATGCTTAATCAAATATAAACCAAAGCTGAAATTAATCGATCACGATCATTGTTTTGTGTCAATCAAAAAATGTGTAGACAATGGTGCAAACTTAGCTTCCGTGGAAAAATATTATCAGTTGTTACAAACGAAATAACATGGGGTATATTTATTATTCTTGCTTGTGCCATTGCTCTGATCATTGTGTGGGTAGTAAACAAACCAATTGAATGGCAAAAATACAAAGATCCTGTTCATGAACAAAAGCTTATGAGTATTATTGGTGGTATATTTGCTATTGTCGCCACATTAATGAGTCTGGCTCAAATTGTTCAACATCTTGTTCACAAATCTCATAAAGCTTCGCAAAAGCGAATCATACGTATATTGTGTCTAGTGCCTGTATACGCTTTAACCTCTTGGCTATCTCTACTCTTTTTCAAAGCAGCTATTTATATGGAATTTATTCAACAATGTTATGAAGCTTATGCTATGTATTGTTTCCTCCTTTTGCTAACAAAATACCTCGGTGGTCATCGAGGTGTAAAAGAAACGATTGTACACAAAGAAACCATTCATCTGGTATTCCCATTTGGATGTTGTTGTCAACCAAAAGCAAATCCAAAATGGGTATGGTATTTTAAGATAGGACTTCTACAATATTCATGGATTACACCAATATGTTCTGGTATAGCCGTTATTTTAAACTTGACGAATATCTATAGTAATGGTCTATGGAAATTTAATCAAGGTTATCCATATATTACAATTATTATTACTATTAGTCAAATATTAGCTCTTTACTTTTTAATAACATTCTATAGTAATATGAAAGATGATTTAAAACCATTTCAACCACTTGCAAAATTTATTACAATAAAACTTCTTGTTTTCTTTATATTTTGGCAATCAGTAATAATGAGTAGTCTTGCAGCTGCTGGAGTACTTCGAAATACTCTATGTGATCCACAAGTCAATGCCTATTGTCATGGTTCAACAATAGGATTTACGGTTGAACAAGAAAAAATTTTATTAGGAAATATATTGATCTGTGTTGAAATGTTCTTTTTTTCAATCGCTCACCATTGGATCTTCAGTTGGAAACCTTATGCAAATGAAGCGTTCACTAATATTATCGAATCTCGATCTCTTCAAGCAATTAATAATCACAATAATATTGATAGACAATTTGCTACAACATGTTTTTAAATCTTTTTCCTTAAATGTAATTTCTTTTAAGGTGTACTGAAAGTGAAAAGATTGTAAAATATTTCTCATTCATCTTTCTTATCTCTCATCGGTTAGACACGTCCGACGTTGCTGCTTTTGTTTTTCCTCTCTAAATTTTGTTCATTCTTGCTTAATATATTGATTGATTAAAACTTTTGATCTTGGACAAGAATGTCTCGTTCTAATCCTCAACCTACAAGTGTGAGCTCATGCTCAAAAGAGATACAATTTCTTTTTTGTATATAATTAGCACCAAATGACCTGGAAAAAAAGGAGGGGGTCAATAAGCGATGAAATCGGCCCCCTTGAAAAATACGACTATATCTAAGTGAAACTATCATATTGAATGCCGGAAAGCGATATGTGATAGAATCAGTCAAATAGAGCTTGGTTTTTCTATGAACAGGTCGGGTGTTCCATTTATCCACATCTACACGCAAAACCATAGCTGCATCCTACACTCACCCACCCACACCCTAGTTGTATGATTGGATCCATAAGTCACATATTTCGCTTGTCCATAACATCTACATCTTCGTTGAATTTTGATAGAAATATGTCGATTAATTCGAATTTGCCACAAAATCGAATTTCCCATTAAGTCGTCTCTTTTGTATCTTGCTCGATGAAGTTTAGGACTGCTATAGATGAAAAAAATTAGAATGTAAAACAAGGAGCTACACATCTATTTAAATAATTTAGTGTAACTGGTGTTTTGTTAAAATTGCTGGCTAAGTAGAAAAAAATCAATATCAAAGCTTTTAAATAGCTAAGACCTTTTTAAATAGCGAAATATTTAATGAAAAAGTATCTCTCTTGAGAAGCTATAGTTTGATCGATAAAAGTTAAGATGGGATGTTTTTATTTGATGAAAATTTTACTCATGACAATACAGAGCTTGTAGTAACAAACGAGCTTTTTCCTTTGTACTTATGTAATAGAATGAGTCGAGCACACTGAATAGATAACACACAACTAACTTGTCGACCCTACTAGATAATATAAAGGATAAATATGTGAAGTTCACAACAATTTTCTCGAAGGTGGCTTTCTCTTGCAATTTAATCTTCTTCTTAAGTTTATTCTCTTGTGTAATTATCTGTAGTCATAAAGGCAAGCCATTTTTCTTCGTTACACACAATAAATCCAGTAGATTACTTTCAATTCTTTTGAATTGATTGTAATAGTACGCAATCACATAGACTTTCAAGCTTTTTCTACTCCTTATAATCAAAAGATAATTCTGTCCTTCACATTAGAGAGTGTCATAAATGTATTGATTTAACTTTACTTCGTCATTCATGAGTGTTCTTCCTTTGGTGATTATCATCCTTGTACTCTTTTCATCATAGAACGATAGCTACTGTTTTAGGGTGAGAAAAACCTGAAGAAGTAAGCCGAGATACATCTTGTGTGACATAAATCTAATATAAGTGTGATTCACAAATCCAATCTGTTGAGATCAGATAGTTTAACCGCAATATCGTGTTTGAGAATATTTTAGCTGCAATTCAGCTCGCTCGATGAATTCAGATATAAGATGCCTGATGAATCAAAATGTTATTACTTTTTCAACTCTCGCGACATTTTTCTAAAATCCATTATCCATGATCGGAGACAAAAGTTCATCAACTCAGTTCTGATTGGTATTGCACAACTATCTACAATGTCATTTGATCGAGCCATTTCATTTGACAAAATCAATCTTGCTATTATTAAATAAGAGTAGTGAATAGAGATAGAAAGTGTTACCATCCTGTAAGATTAATACTAGATATATTGAACCTATCTCATGGACACGCATAGGCTCTCTGCTTGTTCAATCCAGATGAGACTAATCTGATTTCGATAAGACATGACGAGTTCTATTTAGGTTATAAGTAAAAGATTTAGACACCAATGTGAAGCGAATCATGACCGTTTTTTCGAAATAGTCCTGATTTTTTTCACAATATCTAATAGTATTTTACGATTTACTTGGGCTTGTCATAATATATTCGAGAAATAGTGACATTTATTAATCGAGTTTTTCATGGCCCATCTAGGGACAATGAAAGTAGGACTGAATTCGGCTTCCAAATGAATCCATCTAGAATATATTGAAATCCTGATGTAAGGCGTGCTCTGTGTTTTTTGATTATTCATTCGTTGGTTAATCTCATTGAATCGACCTATAGACTGACTTTGACGACGGTATTTCTGTCTTGCATGTTTCTCAGTATGACTTTGTTTACGCGGAAGTGGGATTTTTTCTCTGCTTATGAGACGGGCAATATGATCTACTACTTGGCAAGCTTCGATCAATGAATCCTTGATTTGGCTTTCATAGTTATCGAGATCGGCTTTATTTGCAAGCGCAATTTTTTCACTGTCTTCAATTCGTTAAATGATTTATGGGATATACAGCACTGCTGTCGAATGTTCACGGGCGGTCTAAATTTGATCGAAATCTATCCGAAGCCGATCGAACGAGTTGATCTAAGAAGAATAGATCCCGAAGATCTCAGATTGGTCAAGCTGAATGTCTAACATGTTTGCCTTATATAGATGTTCTTTCAAAGAGTTGTTTTGTTGAAGTATGATCGTTGTTACACTTTCTTGGATAAGTAATACTATAGGAAATGTTGACTTCGGCGTAGTCACCAGTTTTTCATTATATGCAGGTGCCGATCTTGGTGTGCCTATTGCCAAAGTCGCTTGTAGAGACAAATGTTTTTATAAATCGACTGCGATGATGTATCTTACTACCTCATCATAGCCCTTTTTGTGTAATTAATATGATTAGTGAATCAAAAAATCATTAAAATGCATTGATATCAAATGGTTATAAGTGCATTCTTGAATGCAGCATACTCAACGATGTAGATAAGGACAAGGAATATAAGTGAGAGGGATAGAGCAAATAATATTTTATTTCTATCATGTTTTAAAGAGCTGTGATACAACACTTTTGAAAACATCAAGTAACCTTCGAACACAGACACAATTCTAAAGACATACAGTGCTAAATGAGTAAAGCTGAAGACATTGAATTGAACAGTATGGATGCTGAAGAACCAAAGATCATCGTATACATAGATGATTCCAATGAAATTGAACCGACAACCGAAGAATTGTCAACATTGGAACATATTTCTGATCGAATACCATTAGCGGCCTGGCTGATTGTCATTTGCGAACTGTGCGAACGTTTTGCCTTTTATGGACTCTCTGGTCTCTTTCAAAATTACATTCAGTTTCCGTTACCCATGGGAAATGATACACAACCAGGTGCTCTCAATCGTGGACAGCAGACTGCTACTGCATTGACAATGTTTTTTCGATTCTTTGCTTATATCACGCCGATCGTTGGTGCCATTCTAGCGGATCAATTATGGGGCAAATACAAGACTATTATGGTTTCATGTATAGTTTATATGATTGGTCTCATCGTACTGCTTCTGACCAGTATACCGCCAGCTATTGATAAAGGCGTCGCCTTTCCTGGTTTAATCATAGCGATGATCATTATAGGTTTCGGTACCGGTGGCGTGAAAAGTAATGTGAGTCCATTGATGGCTGAGCAATATTCCAGAACGAAAACAATTATCACAGGTAACTGAAAAGTCTTTTGAAGAGAAAGATTCCATTTCTTATCTCTTTTTAGAGATCGGAGGCAAAAAGAAAATTATCGACCCAACTGTGTGAGTCGATTGAGTGTTTATCTGCTTATTCCTTAGACTATATTGTCCATATTTTAGAACGATGCAATCGATGTTTAATTGGTTCTATTGGGCGATTAATATAGGCGCGCTATCATTGATCGTCACTACCAATATCGAAAAGTATCATTCATTCTGGCTTGCCTATCTTCTACCTACGGTCGTATTCGTTGGCGCCATCATCGTCTTGATCATTGGTCGCGATCGATACGTTCAAAAACCTCCGTCTGGTTCATTGCTCATTCGCGCTGCTCGTGTGACAGCAACCGCCATCAGAATGCGATGGAAATTGGGCAAGCAATCCGATCGCCCAGATCTTTTAGATTATGCCAAAGAAATGCCATCTACGATCGATCAGAATGGAAAAGAGACGACAACAGAATCAAGCAACAATCAGTTTATCGATGATCTCAAAAAAGCAGTAAGTGCTTGCCGTGTTTTTGCTTTCTATCCGTTGTATTGGGTCTGCTACAATCAGTTTGGAACCAATTTAGTATCACAAGCTGCGCAAATGAATGTCGGTGAGTTCGTGACTTCTCTTAAAATGATCAAGGAAACAGGATGCTATCCGATCTTCGATACCTTCTTTCTACTTTAGGCCCTCTACCTAATGATATTTTACAAAATATCGATCCACTCGTTTTGGTTATTTTCATTCCGATCTTCGACAAATTGATCTATCCTGGTTTGCGACGATGTAAAATCAATTTTACGGCTATCCTCCGTATTAGTTGTGGTTTCTTCTTTGTTTCTCTTGGTATGGCATGGTCAGCAATTGTTCAACATCTAATCTATTCTGCTCCTCCAAATTTCAATTTTGTGCCCAAGCCTTGTCCTACTTGTCAAGAACACAACAATATTACTGTAGCTTGGCAAATTCCAGCATATTTTTTCGTTGCCATCTCCGAAATCTTCGCCTCCATTACTGGCCTCGAGTACGCATTTACTCAGGCACCACATTCGATGAAATCCATCGTCATGTCACTTTTTCTATTCACATCAGCCATCGGCAGTGCTCTGAATCTTGCACTTGTACCAGTATCAGACGATCCGAAAATATTGTGGATGTATGTGTCACTGGCAATTGAGGCATTCGTCTTCGGTATTCTGTTTTACTTTGTCTTTCGAAACGATCAAAGCATACACAAAAAAGAACTATCTACAAAATGATTTGTGTCAGCTTTTTTTTGTTAGTATTTAGTTTTATCATTTTAATGATCATCAATAAATGTTCATTCTAATAGTGAACATTACTTCATTCTTCTTCTATTTATGTTCTGCGAGGCCATTGATGATGAAATTGAATGGCAACTCAAATTGTTTTGTGGTTTATTACTCAGAGATTTGTGCGCACTTTCAGAAATCCATGAAACGAAGGTCATTGCGAAGAGTCAATTGTCGTAGCATGAAGAAAAAATGAGAGTGTCTTTTCGTCGATCACACCATGATCCACTGATTCATTCTCAAGTCATCTCTTATACTGATTGAATCACATTTCCCATCAAGATGGAACATGAACAATCACCCAGGACGATGGTTCCGGATTCCGGATTCAACAGGAACCAGGGCTATTTCCCGCTAATTTCGGCAGGTTCCAGCTTATTTTCCTCCGGGACCGCCAGGAAAACATACGGGAAATAGAAGCAGTATTTCGGATCGGAAAGCACCCTGCCGGATCCTTTCACTTCCGTGCACATCCAGTGTCCGGAATTATCTTGGAAAATTACCATATCCACATGGAATTCTTACGAAAAGTTACCGTATCCTGCTTCCCAGATCGAAGAATATGGCAAGGGTGTGGGCGTGGATGACCATTGATTGAATCCACACCCACACCCCACACCCACAACTTGATGGATATGAACGATTTCTATTTTTATTACGCTCATAATAGAGAATAAAAAGTAAATTTAGTAAAATATTGTTAACATGCCTTGTGTTAATAGAATTTTTAATACATAATTTCAATTGTAATCAATAAGATTTTCGATGATTGTAATATTATTCTTCAATATATACGTGTTATATCTATCTGAATTTATGTATTCGAAAAATAGAATGAAAAATATTAAATAGTCTTTAAACTATCCAGATCAATGATTCGAATCTACTATTTTCAGTCTTTGTTTGATCGAAGTCAAGTCATATTTCTTCATTTAGATTATGATACAATTCTCATAGTGAGTGATGTATAAAAAATGAGCAACATTTTTTTATATTTATTTTTTGTTTTCTTATGTCAATCCTGGAAGATTGAAAACATTCTCATTCCTATGACAATTTAATTCTCTAAAATGTTGACAAATTTAAATATATAGCGATGATTTTTTTTTCCCAACAGAAAAATACGTATTTCAAAATGTAACTATCTGCTTATCGTCTTGTTGACATACATTGTAAGATGCTACTGTGAATAAATATTTATATATGACTAAATGATGATATTTGTATTATATCAAGGTACCTAACTTATAAATTTAAGAGTTTATATTAATTGATACTAACATATTTTTATAATTGAAGATGAAACTTATTGTTTCTTTTTAGTTTTCGAAAAAAAAATAAAGATTTGATTGTTTTTAGAAATCTCCAAAATCGAAGTAAAAATGTTGATTTATGGTCTATGGAGATCGAGCGATAATTATGTCCTTGTCAAACTTTCATTGATCTATATTTACAAAAACTAAAGACTATCATAGATCAGTCTATAAAATACAGCTTCATCAAGTAATATTACTTTTGTTAAAATTGAAGAGTTTTGAAAAAACTCCTAAAACAATGACTTTATGAAAATTCGAAGAGATTTTTCTAATGATATTAATACATCTATAACTCAAAGAAAAAAAAAGAAAATTGTTGTTAAAAATAGAATTGAAATTTTTATCAAGCAAACTTTTTTCTAACACTTAAAAGTAAAATAAGATTCCAAAACAATTTCTTTAAAAAATGAGTCATTCTTTATGCACTGCACATTATATAATTACTTTCATAGAATATGCAACACTTAGGGCAAATTGTTATAGTTCAAACAACGTCACACTCATATTTTAAAATTCTTTTATCATACAATTTTCTTTAGCTGATGAACTTATTTGGAACTGATATTATAATCATTTATTAGAGTTTACTACAGATTCTTTCATCATCTTTTTTATAAGCAATAATAATAGTATTTATTGTCGATGTGATGATTTGAATAATAATTTATGACTCATATATCCGTTTATTAGAGAAAGTAGTGAAGTAAACATAGGAAATCTGATATCGGTTGTTAATGTATCTTAAATATATTTGTAATCATTGTTGATTGACATCTTTACAAGAAAATTCTAATTTTAAACTAGAAAAAACTTAGAAAAAAAATGTTTAACGCTATAAAATGTTTCTATTTCAATAATATCGTTACAATTGCATGAGTTTTCTAAGTAATAAGTCACTAATACAAAGACCAAATGTGTCTACTATTCGATTAAGATTTTGTTCTGTTACCCATTGTTATAATGTTTGTTTTTCTTTTTCAAACAAATCAAAAGAGTATTATTCCCCTTTTTTTTTCTTCAATATTACACGTATTAAAATATTATTGTAATCAATTACACTTTATTATTTATCTTTGTTGTTTTAAAAAATTACAAAATTTTGTGCGATAGTTTATTAAATAATATTCAATGAATGCAAATTCGATTTATTTAAAATACAATAAAATCATAGTACTTGAAAGCTTATTACAATAAATAAACGAATGGTAAAATAAGAAATGTAAAAATGTTAATATATTTTCGAACACCATCATTACCATGAACAGTGGTAAATACTACGCCAACATGAGTAGTAGTAGATACTACGTCAACAGGAACAGTAGTAGATACTACACCAACAGGAACACTAGTAGATATCAATTCAATAGGAACAGTAGTGGTGATATCTCGAGCAGCATGTACACTGCATGCCGCGCCTAATGAATTATCAATATCGATATAATTACTATCATTACTTAATTTAATTGTTAATGTAATGAAAGCAATTGCCACTGATATTATATAACCACTTGGATAATCACTAGTACCACTATAATCGGTTAGTCCGAAGCACATACCAGTTAAACTTGCATAGAAAGATATTGAAGCTGATTCAGGATGAGATATAACGATTTGGCCACTCAAACAGCAACATTGACTTGTATCACAACTTGAATCAGCTGTGAAGTTTCCTTCCCATACTTGTGCATGAACTATCATTAGATAACTTATGAATATGAATGCAATTGTCCAACGCATGATAAGGACTAACAGAGTATTACAAAAAAAATACTCTTCTCAAGCTAAGAGTTTTACTACTGTTTTGAACAAAAAAGAAGTCTATAGAAAATATTACAAATACTATTGCTTTTATATGGTCGGCACTGTTTTTAATTAATTTAGTAAAAAAAGGTAATCAATTTGAAATTCATCAATAACTTTAATTAGTTTTTCTGTTTCGTTCACAGTAACAGATGGTTATAAGTGCACACTAGAAAAATCATATAAACACTGGTTAAGATTCTGCTTATTAATGTAGTTTGTTTAAACATATATATATTGTTTAAAACAATGACAAAATCTTCAGAAATAGTACAGGATCTGTCAAAATGTTTTTCCAGGGAGGTAGCATTATAATTTCAAGTAGCATATATAACTAATTTTATACCAAAATAAAGTGCGTCGACAATGAGCTTTATTGATATTAAATTGTAAGGGTTATCAAAACTCTTTAATGTCAAACTTCAGAAATTTTACTTTTTTTTGGCATAAATGACTAAGGTCTCAGTGATTCAAAAATCGATTTCAGTATTTTTTTTGATATTTTTACATGATTGGATAGGACTTGTTGAGCTCTACAAAACTATATATATTAAAAACTTTTTAAACCGACTTTCTGAGATAAAAATATTAAAATAGGTACTTGGAAAATGCTAAACATGTTAGAAAACCCCTTTTTTTTATTTAATAGAAAATTACTCGATTTTTCAATAAAAACAGCTTTTTTTCATTATTTTCACTAACAGAGATGTTTCGAAATCTAATTACTAGACTCAGTCTTTCACGGTGCACCCGGTGCTTCGATTTCGAAACATTTCTGTTAGTGAAAATAATGAAAAAAAGCTATTTTTATTGAAAAATCGAGTGTTTTTCTCTCAAATGAAAAAAAAAGACGTTTTCGAACATTCTTTAGCATTTCGCAAGTGATTTTTTAATATTTTTATCTCAGAAAGTGGGCTTAAAAAGTTTTTAATATATATAGTTTTGTAAAGCTCAACAAGTCCTATCCAACCATGTAAAAATATCAAAAAAAAATACTGAAATCCATTTTTGAATCACCGAGGCCTTAGTTGTTTATGCCAAAAAAGCGTAAAATTTCTGAAGTTCGGCATTAAAGAGTTTTGATAACTTTTACAATTTAGTATCGAAAAATCCCACTTTCGACGCGGTTTATTTGGGTATAAAATTAGTTATGTATGCTATTTGAAATTATAGTATTACTCTCCTGGAAAAACATTTTTACACATCCTGTACAATCTAGCAATAGTTAATGGATATGTTATTATTTTTAAAGTACGTTTCTCAAAACGTTAATGATGTAATTTTTCGAAATAAAAAATAAAATAAATAGAAATTTGCTCATGTTGAAATTCATCAAACATGAAATGTGTCTAAGGATATAAAAAAGGAACTATCAACTACAGACATTTATTTTAGCTCAAAGTTTGTTATTGTGTCATACTGATAAAAAAAAATAAAAACCTTGTGTATTATAATTCATTATAAAAATTTCACTACTGTAACTTGTATTGAACTATAATTGTTCTTTTCCTGATTCATTCATGAAATTTTGATGGAATCTTAGTGTGTTACATTTATAAAAACTGAATTTTTGTTCAAATTCATAGACTATTGAGATTCTTTTCACAAAGAAAGTTTATTGCAATCGTTGTTTAAAAAATTATTTCGCATTTTCTGAACAGTCATCCAAGTACAATTCAACTGTTCCTGTATTTTCCTGGTTTAGTTTGCAAGCTATTAGACTCAATGGATCCTAGCAATAAAACTTACGAGTTAGTGGAAATCGATAAAAACAGTTATTGAAATTTTTTAAGATATGATAAACAGCAGAATTGTGATTAAGACTGTTTGGACTCAAAAAAAGAAAGAACAAGAAGTTTATATATTATAATTAATAATGGTAAACATACATATGGCATGTTTTAATCATATACGAGTAAATAAACTTTAACACTATTAAGTCAAGCTATAATAACGAATGGCATCGATTAAATTGCCGCCTTTTTTATTCAATTTTTTTCCTCATCTACTGCGTTTTATTTAAAAAAAACAAAATACGCTACACGATGCAGTAAGGAAAACACTACAATTTACATTTATGTAAAGAAAACGATCGAGTAAAACTGCATAATAAATTTTTAAAACTAAAAGAAGAATATTCAAGTTCACATTATTCAACAAAAGAATACAATGAGTTCATCATTTCGTCTGAAAATAAGTGTTCGATGCGACTTCATACACTCGATAAAGCTTAATTTTATTTACTGCGAATATTTATTGATATTAGAAAGAGAAATCGAAAACCAAAAACGAACGAATTATAAAACATGGCTGATATAATAACTTGCGCCTGACGACTATAATAATATACACTTATCTTTCCATTTCATTATTTAAACAATATGCCAACATAACGTCATGAATAAAGAGAAATGTTCATGGATATGAAATTATAATAAAACATAAAGAGAATACATGACCATAGTTGACATTGTTGAAATCATTGAGACGCCATTCGTTATATAAAACTGGATATTATTTTGTTTCGTAATATTTCCGCATGAGAAACTACAAAATTTATAAATCGAGAATGAAAAACAAAGTCAAACTCCAGGACGATGATTCCAGTCTCCGGATCCAACAGGAACCAGGGCTATTTCCCGCTAATTCCGGCAGGTTTCAGCTTATTTTCCCCCCGGAACCGCCAGGAAAACATACGGAAAGTTACCGTATCCTGCTTCCCAAGTCGAAGAATACGGCAAGGAACCAGCCGTTTCCCGTGAGAAATTCATGGGTCCGGTCGCCGAAGTCATCGTTCTGGGGTATTTTTCTGCAGGATACGGTGAATTTTTCCGTCGATTCTCACAGGATCTGTTTTTCAGAATCATTGACCTGGGATTATATCCAGCCGGAATCACAGTGGAAACGACAGGATCTACTTCGATGTTATCTACTAACAACATAGAAAATCTCGGAAATCAACGTAACACGGCCAAAGTATTCCTAAACAGGATACCGCCGGGTGTGGGTGTGGGTGTGGATATCTTCCCGTCACTCACACTCTTTCTGGGAAGTTTTATCCACCCGACAAAACATCGTTAAGGAGTTTAAATGTTCTACTTTCAGACCAATATTCTTTGATAGGCATATTCAAGACAATCTGGGAAATGTCTCATTGTATGCATTCAATGATGATATTTTGGAATTGTATCATGAAATATCGTACGCAAGACTGTCTCACATTGACTACTAAATAACATGGTCTTCAGGAGAATATCATTGGAAGATTGACTCCTGAAAATTCTCAATGCAGGCACCAAAAATGCTTGATATTTGCATAGTCTTTTAACCTCAGATCATTCTGTAAAGGTGAACAAGGTCTTTGTACATAGTCGTACTTTGAGTGACCAAGGTTGATGCTATTCGTTTCATTTATGATTAGAAGATAAAATGCTAAAGAAAAAACTTGAGCAACACATCGATTGTCATCTTCAAGCGAGTATTTGTTTGCATAATTTCTCTTCCAAGATGATCGAAATATGAACGTTAGGCAAAAAAAGTGGCTTATAGTTGAACTTCAAGTCAACAGGAAGATCAGTCGTTTTTCTATAAAAATTAACGACTAGGTTTCTGTTAGGTCATCATTTATAGTGTCATCAAGCATGAGCTCACACTTCGAATCCACACTAGTTCGTTATGATGAATAGCAAACTTAGTTAAATATTCGTCCAAACTAGGAGATAACAGGATTCGACTTTTCTTGATTAAGCATCTGAGTGACTTTTAGACTTGTGTCATGATTAAATTTTCAGCTTTCAACAGAACTACATTTAAGGGGACCTTTTACTCTCCGCCTCCCGTTTTTTGGATTTCTTGGGAATAGCTTGATGAACAATTATGAAATTTTCAAGACAGATAGACCTCAATGAATAGGACAAAAGTTGTCATAGGCTCTAAAGTTCCAGAGCTTTCTTCAGGAAGGTATGACGGTTGCAAAGGCCAAAAATAGTCCAAAGTTCCTCTTGCGACACTATACAGGGTGCAACAAAATAATTACGCTCCTCCTCTACAACTTAAAGCATAAATGATTTTATACCAAATTAAAACTCATGAAAAACTGCACCTATGAAAATATTGAAATGTCTTGAATTACATGCCAAAATGCACTTGTATTTTATGATTTTCACTCTTCATGTGCATCTTTTCACAAAAAATAATAGCAGGTTCGTAATCTTCATCAAAAACTGTATCTATAGACATGTCACTTGTATATTTTTGGCGAAAAAAAAATTTTCCAAAAATCTTGGGTGGTACATATTGTAAGCCGAAACTACGTATTCTCAGAATTTTTTGAAAAATTTTTTTTTCGTCAAAAATATACAAGTGACATGTCTATAGATACAAGTGCATTTTGGCATGTAATTCAAGACATTTCAATATTTCCATAGGCAATAGTTGTTCTAATTACACTCATAAATGCAGTTTTTCATGAGTTTTTATTTAGTATAAAATACTTTGTGACATCATTTATACTTTAAGTTGTAGAGGGGAGCGTAATTATTTTGTTACATCCTGTATTGTCCTGAGAAAAGAACAACACAGATAAACAAACACTAGAGAGTGTGAATGGCAAGTTTACTTGATATTTTTGAGCAAATGAATCAGTAGAATTTAAGAATGTTGAGGGAAAAAAATTAGAAAAAGAAATCTTAAAAAAGTAGAAAAATGTTCAAATTGCAGAATTTCTCTGCTGGAAAGTAGAAGAGATAGCAACACTGATCCTGAGCTTTTCGCGATGGTACTGAGAACAACCAGAAATATATATGCATCAAAAACGTGCACGAAGTAGTCAGAGTTCGTTAAGTACCAATTTTTTAATGACTTCCGATTAGAACACTATTCATTTGACATTTCCGAGT